ATATGTTTCCCTGTAAACAGAGTGGAGTTTTATTCATTTTTATTAACTAGCACTGACATTATCATTTACAAAACTATTTAACATAAGCATTTTGCTCTTACCTCTAAACAGAGAAACGACAATTAAAGCTAACTAACCACTTCTCTGTTTACACGGATTGGCAGCGTTTTATTACCCGAAGATTTTGTAACGCGGTCGGACTAGTTTTTTCTGCTGCTGCTGCTAGAGATTCGCTATGGAAATGAAGGAAAAGACTCGTCAGATTTTCAGCTCGCCAGTGAATCTGACATGACTGAACGGCCAGAAAAAATACTTCTAATCGTGTTCGGTAATTTAATTAATTTTAAATAACACCATACTTAGATTTTTAAGTTTTTTGCTTTTTAAAAATTTGCACATTTAAGTAATGATATGTTTCAATACAATTGTAGTTCCTCGTTCTTCAGGTGAGATAGCTTCATTATTGTTAAGCGTCAGACTTTCTGACACTTAGATTCGATCAGATTCCGATCAGTATTCTACGTTCAGATTCAAAATGTATGAAACAGAGACTGATTATTCTAGTAAATTAAAATTCTCCAAACCTTTGCATCTCTATATCAAAATCATGGGTTCTTTTCTACGTTTTCTAAACAGATATTAACAATTTGAGGAGAAATCGTAAATAAAGAAGGAAAAGTGCCATACCGCATGTGCTCAGAAAGCATTCTACGAGTAACTTGGCATTTATATAGGATGAAAACTGGTACCAAACGCTGAGTCATAACTGACACTGCGGTGTGAACCGACCAGCGAATTCCTTCGACGCGTCTAGCGCGGAACTTTCCGCGCTGTATCCGCTGCGGATGATTCGCGGCGATCTGTAGTAGCCGTTATCTTTCAATATCCTATCTTTCGATAGTAAGATACAATATATGTTCGATTGTTGGTTAAGGCCATGCTCATGGTGCTTTCTTATATTTAATACAATTGACTGTTCAAGAGGTTTAATTATAACTGTGTTGAATTGACCTTATAACTGAACAAATTTAATGTGATGAATATTATTAATTCTCCTACTTGCCTTTCGTTCACGCCAGTAATTTTTCTAATTCAAGTTATTACATTTCAAGATCTTTCGAGTGCTAGAGTAGTAACTTCATTTTAAATTTTTGAAACTTATAATTATTTTGATTTATTAATTATTCTCCTACGTTCGTTTAAAGAGCATGCCAAATAAATTGCGTCTTTTGTCACGAATTGATTTCTTCTGAACTCTCACAACCATGACATCAGCTATAAGCTCCCTTGCTTTCTGTTGCCAACGGTTACGAAAATCGGCCTGTTTAGGAAATAGATATACGTGAGTGTTAACGCCTTTGTATATCATAATTTAATGTATTCATACAAGTAAATCCTTTTAAACTCATCACTAAAAGTAATTGTGCACCAAAAAAGGCAATTGCATTACCGTGACGAATGCATTTTAGATATTTTCATAATGAATTGAAAAAAGTACTTTTAAAAGAGTATTAATACTTCAACCGAATCGAACTAGATATCATGAATAAAGAATTAACAATCCATTATGCTGCCAAGATGATGTGGAATGTATGTATTCTTAATGGTTTGCGATTATAAGCAATTGCTGATTAATCGCTATGACTGTGACGTAAAAGTACAGAGGCATAAACAAAACAAAGGTGTCCAAAAAAGAAGATAAGGAAAAAAAGCATGAGAAGAAGAAAAAGAAAGAGGGGGAGGAGGAGAAGAATCAGCTTTCTTGCAGCTGTAGAGGAGTTCGTATAAAACCATGCCCTTACTGTAAACTAATAAAATAAAATATCGATGTGATACTAACTACAAATAATACTACCACGTTTTACATTACACTAAAATATTAAAACACTATGATCCATTTATAGAACTGCTCAACATTTAATTCACACCACCTTCAAAAACTATAATGACAACCTATTACTGTTGAGAAACTTTTTCTCTGGCACAATATAATTACGACAAATGTTTATAAATTAAATTAAAATAATATTGAACAAGTTCATACACGTTATGTGTAAATGCACTGGCTGATATATCTCAGTGGTAACGTATGTTCCCACTGCAGTATCTCTGACTGGAACTCCTTGGCTGCAG